TGTGATATCAGCACACACATTTTTCTACTGCTTCTGCGAACTAACAGAAGTTCTGACGCCCTGATTGCACTCAACATATTCCTATTTTGTGAAGTATAAGTCTATGGGCAGTACTCCCAACTGATAAATCCTAAGGTTAATGCCATTAAATCTGTTAATGGCAATTAATTATTTTCAGTATCCGATGTGAAGTGTGTATTTTTTATTTAATTATGCAGTCTCGTTAATTTTGCGTCACTGCTGTATACACGTTGTTATTTTGCCCTTTAGAAGGCAGTGGTAATTGTGTATCGGCTGTTCTGACGCCACACAGCTCATAGTTTCGTCTTAACATGCACACGGATATCCTTTAGATCTCAGAAAACGAGCAATGTCTATCAGATTGTCATTAAACCAACGAGACGTGTAACAGCAGACGGTGCTTTCTCGGAGAAAGGAAACTAGTTTATAAATGTTTCGTCCTATACTTCCAGCTGTAACCGTGCCAGTTATAATCTCACTTTTCAGCTTCGCCCTTGAAAAGTTTTAATTGGACTCGTCTAGCAGTCCAAGTGACTGTCTTTCATATAATTTTATTTATTTCTGAGGCCATTCTCAAACTGGCTGAAAAATACTTGACTGTTTATTCTTGTTGAGGTCTCGCAGGTCTAACAAAGAAACATGTTTGATCAGAGGTCGATGAAGAACGTGTTAATTTTCCGGTTCCGGAGTTTCAACCGCTGACAGAAAATACTCTGTAGGTAGATCCTGGCAGCCCTGCCACGTGTGTATTTCTCTAACTAGCTTTGTGTTGCAACCGATTGCCCCTTGTCATGTAACCAAGGTCCCTCCCCTCCATCTTGTGTGCGTTCCTTCTCGGTATACGGTGACGAAATACCGATGTTGCTTATTGTCAGTACCTTCCAAATATTCCATCTTCGAGTCAAGATTCCGATGTCACACCTGTCTTTGTGACAAGGTGAAACCCCCCCCCCAATTTCTGCAGATGTACGTGAATCTGAATCGGTACTTCCTTTTAACCTTATCTGTTCTTGCGCTGATACTGTAACTCGCTAATCAACTGCAATCTTTCAGCGTGACATATCTTTCGTGTAGCGTGAAATTATGCAAGTCTTCGCCAATAAAAATTGTCCATAACATCACAAAATTGAACTGCAGCCTATTTATTTTCAAAGTGGGGGCGGGGTGTACACCGTTGCTACGAAACGGTTCGCAGATAAAAGTTATGAACAAAGCACGCGGAGGCCGTTTCGACCCATCGTAACTTTTAACAAGACGAGAACTTATATTATTTCGATGTTCTTGCGTAGTTAACCGCCCGCCCAATTTCCGTGAAACAAGTATTCCGAGATTTCTAAGCAGTATTTGATTAACGGGAGCCTTTGTTTGTAATAACCACAAACTCTTTTGTCATGAATGCTGGTAACTCGATCGAGATTCGAACCAGGTACCTCCGAATATACACACATCCTGTTCGTCCTTGTTTAATGCACATAATTTACAATACAACCTATTACATTAACCGTACGAAAAACGGCGTGGGTTAATTTGAAGAGCTGTGACCTGTAAAATCAAACGGTGCGGAATGTAGGTGACCCTGCATTGGCCCGAAACCCTAATTACTACAGCCTTTCCAGTGTAAATGTAATGGCAACTACTTCGCAATCCACGAAGTTCCGGCTGACCCAGTGGTTTCCTGCCTCTGCGATCTCTGGTGGACTACTTTGTAAGGGCGACGAAACGCTAACCTGACCTTAATCTCTCCCCTTCGTTTTCCACAGATTCCTAGCTGCATACTTCCGTTTTATTGAACACAAAAACGTGGGGTTACAATGAGAAAGTAGAACGCTTTAATAGGCCTGCACATTACGGCCAATAAATGAAATGGGAGTCTAGTTATTGAGCTAATTATTATTGATATTTGTATTAGGATGGTATTGACCATTAAGCTCCGGTGATGACGAAATGCACCACATGCTTTAACACTAAAAATTTCTTATTTTGCCCTCGGTGCATTTACATATTTCACGTGATTCCCAGTGTAAACGGTGATTACTTTACCTAAATAGCAAACCAACTGATCTTTGAGTTGGAGCTAGGGACTGAATGTTTAAGTATTATTTGAGTAAACTTAGTGCTTAAAATGTTCAAGAGGTCCTTGTTGCGTGGATAATTACATCACTGTGTATTATTACCTTATATACAGTGTGTCTAAATAATTTGAAGCGTGATTGCCATCCATCACGCTTACAAATATGGCCTTGATAACCAAAGTCTTCGGCACTGATCCCCAGACTGCGGAAAAGTGAGCTACAGTTTATAATGTGTCTCTTAGGCTATTATCTACGTTGAATTTTCCTGCTGTATAAGAAATCTGGAAGACATTAACTCAAATACAACTTCAATATATTTTTTTGAATATGGAATCGGGAATAATTTAACGTTGAATGATTTTTAAATTTTTAAACTGCACACCAAATATGTCTGATAAAGAGCCATAGAACTATGCAGTTTGTTGAAAGTTTAAAAAAAACGTCATCCATAAGCGATTTGTCCTACATTCGTTTTGAAGTGTTTGTGGCGAAGATGGTGAAAGCAGTTTCGAAAGCAAGAAAAATGTATCAAGAATTACCTTGTTACTATGCCTATTCTAGTATACGCGTATAAACCTGCCTGAAATGTTTAAGGTTATTCTCAGCTTACTGCAACCTCCCAATTATCAGAGTTAGGAACACATTCATACATACAGTGGGGGAATGTGAAGCATTCGGACACTGAACCCTTCACTGGTGCTTGCAGTGTAGAAGAGTACGCAAAATGTGTTATAACACGACTCGATTTCGTCACATCGGCTCATGACTGTTTTTAGTACATGGCCATTCGTTCGCTATTAGACAGTTTCAGTACGGTAGAGAAGTGCAAAGGATGGACACAATCACTGTTCTACAAAAGACCAACATTCTGAATGCATTTAACTTCCCAGTATCGCAAGAAAACAGTTTTTATTCGCAAAATCAAGCCAACACATTAAACGTACCAGCGCTTTGCAATTAACCACTGGAAATAACGTTTATAAATTTTTACATGATCAAAATTGCAAACGTTCGTCATTTAAGTTGGGTACATGACGCATATAAGCCTATATATTATTTTGATATGAATGTTCGTTAGTGTATTTAACGACGCTGTATCAAGAACTTAATTCCTTTTGCGAAGGTTATATAGTTTCAAATGAGAAATTATATTTATCTATACTGAGGTGGAAAGACACAGAACACGGCCATTTGGAGGGACTGAGGTAAATCGTGAACAGTATCAGAACAGCTTAACTAAATTCAAATAAGAAACTTCCAGAATACGAAGCAGAATATCCAACCGTAGTGTTCGTCAAATCAACTTGAGATTTCAAAAAAATGTAATATGTTAGGAAATGGTCGTCACACGTGTAACTTATTTATTGCCCGGAGAGAAACCAGCTGTATTTTTACTTTACGAGCAGGTCTGCGTGATTTTATAACACCTCGATCTTTTTTTTTGGGGGGGGGGGGGGGGGAAGCACGAAGGGCTAGATCCACGATCTGGACGACCCGACTTGTCCAGCCAGAACACTTGGCAGCCTTGAATACAACATGTCTTGACTGACGTCACGAGCCAGCTTCAGTGCAGCAATAACATTGCTTCCATACATTGCAATTCTCGAATAGATTGCTTCATAGTTTCAGTGCTGTGCCGTGAGGCGATTGATGTAATTGACCCACGGAATACCCACCACCGCACGGTTTACCTTCACCAGTCGCATGCAGATCCCCAACCTAAAAACTAACCACGTGGAGCACAGTGCCTCTTTAAAAGCCAGTAGTCGATCAGCAAATCTAATTTATCACCTTTTATCAAACCCAGAGGCTCACAAGACCGGATTCCGTCATGAATAACACGAATTCAATCCAGTCTACACCAACACACTATACTTCTTTAAGATTAATTTTTATACTGCCCTCTCATCTACACCCAGACTCACCTAAGTGATCTCTTTCCTCCAGGTTTGCCGACGACAACTACGTGGCGTAAAACCGTACAAGTTGATGGGGACTATGTGGAAAAATAGTATGTGTAAAGGAAACATTGATTTATATTGTCACTAAATTTGAGCCATCTTGAATAAATATGTTCTGAGGAAAAAAATGTGGGGCATTACTTAATGAGCGACCCTCGTACATGCCTCGCCCTGGTGATGTTTGGTGAGGAGTACAAACGAAGGTCCTCACATATAATTCTACCTACATTCTTTTGATATTTGCTTTATCGTAGGGAAAAATAATCACCTCATCACCGAGTCCTGGAAGTTCGTTTTCACCTTATTTAAAACAGAGACATATGAGTACAGATATTTGTCTAAATTCAACAGGATCAAATTAAGGATTTAAAATTTCTTTCACAAATAATTCCATGGGCATGTCAAGTTTAAACACAAAAATATTTTAGCATTTTGATCCCGAAGCCCTGTTCCCACAGAACACAATTTGGACATTAATAATCAACAGAAATGTGCGCGGAAAATACTCTTCAAGGAATTTGATTATCATTTAAA